GATAGTGAAAAACGAAATAACGCGACGAGCGCGTTTTACATTTTACACGTTTCGATAGTTTTTGTTGATAATCCACGCAATGAAACGACGCTGAATAAGAGCAGAGAGAGAAAAAAAAAGAGAAGGATCGAAGGAATTGACGAGAGTAAAAATTAAAGAGAGAGGAAGATACGAGTGATATGAACCGCGTGTTACAGTTGCAATTCTTTTAGCGAGAAGAATGTCGCAGAGAAGGAACATGTTGGCGCGCACGTACCGCATTGCGAGCGCTATATCCGGCGACTTTGAGGGTTTCAATTAGGCGATCGTGATCGAGTCGATCAGAACTTGTAACCAGTTTCGAGGATCCATCTTCAACGATGATGCAGGAGGAGGGACGCGACGGCGGCCACCAACGAAATTGTTGTCCAACAGTAAGATCATCGGGGAGCAAGCTCGAGAGACGAAAGATAAGAGAAGATCGTCGAATCGTTCCAAGCGTGTCGACCGATTAAACCGATAGCTCGGCTCTCCTCCTTCTTCATCGTGAATTTACGCTTCTGTGGCTGTGGCCCCCGGAGGGAATTCCTCGCGCAATAACGTGAACCTGCAACATGGGGAATGGGATGAACAAGGTGAGAAATAATTTCACAGATTAGTTGCGTTTCACGTCGACACTTCCTGTCATCCGTCCCATTTCATTCGTCATCTGTGCGAAGAAAAAAACGACATTAAAATGCTAATATAGAACCGCGGTTAAAAAACGTAAGTTAATAGAGTGTAATTACGTTAATATCGTAGAGACGAAATGTTATTTCGGCGGTTGTTTGTCGTGTGCCTTAACCTCTATTCAAAAACTATGTTAATGACGCACGTGCTTCTACATCTTATTTTGTCGCCTTCACGTATGTGCATATTGTAAAATCGTTATATACCGTCGCCTCTAATTTTATCTGTCCCAGATACCGAAAATTCAAGATACCGCTTCTCTTGTGTACTTGCATCCTGCGTGTAATATCTAAAACAAAATTTCAACTTCTATTTTGCGTGTCGCATTAATATTAATACCAATGAACCTTAGGAAACGATTTTGGCACGAACTGCCAAAAATGTGTATGTAGAAATTACAAGACGTTCGCTGCAAGACGTGTTCTTCGCAGTACCTTGAAATACCAATTACTTCTTATATTAATAAACCACGATATTCAGCAATACTATGCTTAACTTTACTTGGGCATATATATTTAAAACGACCATGTAATATTTACGCTGTGTAATAATGTTTATAAATAGTATTTGCTATAATGGCCTTGTGATTTTTACATATACATATTTTTAGATTGTGCCAATGCAATCAACAACAGTCTCGTTGCAGCGCCAAACTGAAATATCAAAAAATTCACAGTGTAACACATGCATGATATATTCACGTATATTCGAATACTTTTATAATCGTCGCTTTAGCGAATTATATAGTTTAACTCAGTTCGTCGAACGGTTCTTTCGAT